TTCGCCTGCTAATCCTGACTTTGGTTTGACCGTGCCCTGTACTCTACTTACGTAATGGCGCAGGACTTTGTTGGCCGCAGCGAGGTCCAGGTGCCTGTTGACAGTACTGGCGTCTGAGCACCATGCCTCAGGCGTCAGTCTTTCAGCCTTTGAGGCTCCTCGGCCTACGATAGTCGTTCCTTAAAGATCGAAGTCGTGGCCGGTCTTTGCGATATGTGTGGCAAGCTGCGAGTTAAAGCCTAGTCTCCGGGCCGTCGCTTTGTGTTTTTTCAGGCGGGTCTGCAATTTGCGTCCTGTTTCTCCAAAGTAACTACAGTTTCAATCGTTGCAACGCATTTTGTAGACAACTCCGGAGGTTTCAGTAGGGGACAGTCTGTCTTTAGGTTGCATCACTCGCGGCGTATTTTCATCTGAGGTCGATGGGCTGTGCCTACTCAAGCGGGTTGCAACAGCCGGGAGACTGCTTCGGAGACTCCTTTTATGTAGGGAATGGCCCTCCAGACTTCGGGTTACGGATTTGCTTTCGTTGGTTGTTCACTCGGCGCTTGCTTTGGTTGATAAAATAATTCAGGTATCCATTAGTTCGAAAAAGGTCACGTAGGTATTGTTGTTTCACTCTTTTGTCAGCTTCTGTGCTGTAATGTGTTTCATGTCTTTGGAGAAGAGAACGAACACAGGTAAGTTTCTGAGACAAAGGGTGATTGCCGTTGAAGGGGCGTATTTGGCCGTCACGCCAAGCCAGACACCGAACGGAGGAAAATCGATCAGCCCAAGGCAGACAGTTACCGCCGTAGCTTTGAACTGCTGATCGAGTAAAATTAGTATTCGCTTTGAGCAAGGACAGCAGGCCCAGCTGTCCGAAACGTCAGCAAATCTTCAACTTTAATCCAGTGGGCAGAAGATGAATTATAAAATTGAGAAAACACTACAGGAATGCAGTGATAGCCACACAAATTTGCAGTTTTTATCGCAAGCGTTGATGGCTCACGAAGAAGATTGTGTGAACAAGTTTGCATTCAATCGTTTAAAAACGTTTTTTTCAATATTCCGCTGTTCTCATATGCTGTTAAACGCGCAAATTTAAAAGTTATTCAAAGTTCAATTGCAGCGAACCAGCGTGGGTATTTTAAAGCTGTGCTAAAACTACGATAATTGCTCAGACTTTCATGAGGAAATAAGAATCACATTACTGAGTATCTAAACCATCCTCCTTTTTGGAGTATGCATAGTTTCTTATTTAAAAGTATGTATTGATTTGTCGCATTTTATCAAATACCTTTCGGAAAGACGATAGGAAAATGGAAAGGGCCAGTCAACATTTTACAGTCATGTATAGTTCTTGCGTAAAATGTGTCATTTTTACGCGAAGTATGTTAACATCCTAAAACTTAGGAAATATTTTACACTAGAAAACGAGAGAATTCCCGTAATTTCGTCTTTGTCGTGGATTACTTTCATCGAATTTGGAGGAAATAGGAGTATGCGATTTTGTAAATGCTCTTTTTACATAAACGAAAATAAAGTGCTATTCCCTAGAAAAAGTATAGTTTAAGTCATCGTTTCCAATAAAAAATCATGGATTTTTTTACCTTGGACGTAAAGATAATTATCATGCACTCCAGTCATGCCAAAATGCGTTAAAGGGGTCGTTAAACATTTAAAACATATCGATAATGACCCGTTGGAAGAGTATTAATTCAATAACGCAGAAAATGTGATAGCTGGGTAAAATTTCTGCTAAATATATTGTGACCTAGGAACACAGGTTATAGATTTCTGCATTCTCAGCCTTCTCAAGGTGAATACGTAAACAGTTGCTCAGTCGCAATCAAACTGTGTTTTCATAAAAGGTAACCGCATAATCTAGGTGGTATCGTGGTAAGGTTTTGAAGAATATAGTTCGCCTAGTTAATAAGGCTACTACCGGATCTTACGCCAAACGTTTCTAGATCCGTTGTGGACTCAACATCAGGGACATTACAAGAAATCAGTAGCAGATACGGATAGCATATGCACAGGATTTTACAGTATTTATAGGACACAGTCATTACTGCAAACGTACAACCACAATTAACGGTAATCACCTTCTCGCCCCTATCTGCTACCGCTTGCTGCTTATATCTCTGGTGATGAATCCGCGACGGATGTCGAAACGTCAGGCGAATAAACGTA